TTTTGGTAGATCGATCTATATATCCGTTGAAGCAAAAGACAACAAACACTAGATGTAAATAATAGGTTAAAGAAAAAAATAAAATGACACTCGAGACTCGGATATGGAATAGCCATCGATGAGGGGTGACAAAAGAACTCGATTATTGATTATTCAATCCTCTTAAGTTTAAGGATGAATTCAAATTTATCGGTAACTTTTTAGGATTATAAAAATGGAACATGTCTTGATAGATGGTGGCATTGATTGCTTGGCCCTTTCAAGTTTAAAGAAGAATTCGGATTCATCGGTAACTTTTAGGGATTCCCAAAAGATGACTACTTCGACAAGTGTCAATGCCGATCGTTAGTTAGATTCGAATCCTCATGACATCAACAAGTCTTTCCCTTCGCATTTTGGTGCCGTTTTATTTTAAAGAATGATAATAAGTAACTTGATGGCCTTTGTAGTAGTAAAAGTTAACCCTCGTAGTCACTTTCCATTCGAGCCATCATATTATCTTAACTCTAATTGATGAGGCTCGGAGTTCCCATTACAAATGAGTTGTCATAAATTTAAAGAAAGATGTCAAAGCTTTTATTATTCAAAATGGGGAGTATGAAGGCTCCTATTAGTTTGTAATACATCTTTCTTTTGCATAATGAAAGGAAGAAAACTCATATAATGGGAAATGAAATAAAATAAGAAAAGCAATTCACTCGGCAGTTCGCTCAAACTCCAAAGACCTTTCCTCTTCTAGAGATTTCAAACACTAAATAGTCATATCTCCTCATATGGTCAGTCACCATTTCATTATGATTTTTCACCCTATGCTCATTGATGGCCGGACGTAGCTCTTGAAGTGCTATAGCTTCTTGGAGACTTTCTTTGCTTGATTGTCTAGCATAGCTAAGCTTTTGCCTCGTTTAGTACCGACCCGAGCTAAGTGGTTGTGTATGGTATTCTAATACTAGGACAACCTAATTAACTCCCCTCCGGATGTCGATTCTCCTTTTTTATTGTCGTGATTCGACTTTGTGCCTCTTCTACTTACTCTATTGGAACTTGTCGATGGCTACATTTAATGTCTAGAGATAGTTGCCACATCTCATTACCTTCTTTAACCCTCCGTATTTCGACCTCAAATTTCTTAACTCCTACTCTACTCCCCTGTCTTGTGATTGTAACCTATCCATCTCAACATATTTGGCCTCTAGTTCTACTTGAGCCCAATGATAGTTTGATTTCCAGTATTCCTCTTTGGTAGCTATACTTTTCCAAGCCTTTAGATCTTGCTCCAAGTCTAGTATCTTTTCTTTATCTTTCCCTCTCATCATTTTTTCCTTAGCCGAGATGACATGCTAGTTTCTAATTCTCAGCCTTGAGCCTCTCGATTTCTTTGGTGAGGTCCCGATGGTCGGCAAGGACTAATTCTATGACGTCCTCCATTCTCCTTTTCTTCCCTTTAGATCGGCTAGCCACAACACTTGGATCTTATGGTGTTACCAGCTCACTCCCTCGATAGGCTAGTTTTGACATCCATTTCCCATGGCTTGGTCGAGTTAGTTAATTGTTTGTAGTCTTTCAGCTCTGTTTGCTTGCCATGTGGGCTATCTCTTGGTCACTGCTAATTCATAATCAATCATTCCTCCTCCCACTAATCCCGGAGTTAACCAATCCCGTAGAACCCGTTCAAAGAACTTGAGAGTGGCATCCTTCTTAAGTTTTCATTCAAACCCGTTTAAGCCCATGGTTCTAGGGACGACTTGTTTATAGCCCAATTGCCTCAATACCATGGAGGGAGCATAACAAGTATACCCGAGTTGCTCCTATTAGAGGAACCCAAGGTCGTGCTCTATAGTAAGCTATATATGTCCTTCGATTCATCCAAACTATCTTCCACGTAAAGCCCCCGGTTGACAAGCTAAAAAATGATGAAAAGCACTCTCGTTCGGACTTGTTTTTTCATTTTTTGACTAAGAACACTTTCAATGGTTCTTGATCGATCCACCGGCATGTCTTGAAAATCGATTTATGGGCTTCGAAATGGCTAATTACCCATACAAAAAGCAACCGAATACAATATTTCATATCCTTTCCTAGACCTCTTGCAGTGACTCAACGAGGAGAAGGTTTTAGATAGAATGGCAGTGGTAGGATTTATGGAGTGTTTCTCCACCTTGATGAAGATATTGGCTACTTCTATATTGATTAAACCGACCGATGAGGGAAAAAACACCAACCCAAAGATCATAAGTGCTAGAATCTTGAGCCATTTAAAGGTAGCTCTTGGGTCCTTCATTTCTTACTTGAACACATCCAACCAGCTCTCTAAGTGCCATCCTTCGACATTCCCTCTAGCTTTACCATGAATCATGCTTTATGTCTAGCCAATCCTCCATATTTTTTTTAGCATTTGATCTTTTTCAATATAGATATACCCGATGTAGCATGCTCGACATGTTTAGAAGCCAATGATACTCTTCCAAGGTTGGGGTCATGTCTAGTCCCCCTATGGTGAAACATCCGTATGAAGGGTCCCATAGATGGGCCAAGGCCTTAAGAGCAGTGCTTCGAATTGGCACTTCCAAGCAACACTACGAGATTCCCATCTTTAGCTCGAAACTTGTACTAGTCATCGAGCTCGACATCTTTCAACAATCAAGTAATTTTTACATGTCATTGATCACCGACTAGAAGTGTGTGATCTCCTTATGGTTGCTCCGAAATTCTAGTCCTAGGCAATCTCCCTTTGTCCGTTATAAAGCCTTAAAATTTTTGTTGAATTCGACCACTAAGTGAGTTTCGATCCGAGTTCTTTTGTCACCCATCCCGAAACATCACAACTAGATTGCTTGGTCAAGGTTTCGACATATCCGACTTACCTAGTGAATTTATATAGGAAAAGTGGTCCTATGGTCCGGTTCTAGCCATTACATGATTGGTTAGGATCTATCTAAGTCTCAAAGGGTCCCTTTTGGCCCGAGAGAACCGAGGTCGACCAAGTGCGAAGCTAGTAATCATAGAGACCATCGAATACCTATCGCGACATTGGTAGCTTTCTAAAAGAGTTGAGGTTTTGTGAGTGTTACCTGTGGCGAAACCCATCGGGGCACTAGTAATTCCTCCCTAGATCCTAAGGCAAATGCAAATTTCATAAAGATATGTAATGTGGTATGTGCATGGGCATTATTCCATGTCCAAGTCTCCAATAAAAATAAAAATACAATAAGGATACAAACAGAAAAAGAAACATAAAAATAAAAAAAACAAAAAACAAAAAAAATAAAAAAATATGTAAGAGTCAAGAAAAATGAGCAAATAATTAGATAAATAAATAAAATAAGATGAAAAATTTAAGGCGAACAACAAAACAAAAGGCAAGAATTTAAACACGGCGAGCAAATTATAGAAATAGGCTAATCAAGCATAAGAGAATAGGTCATATAATCGAAATCAAACTCAAAATTGCATGTAACACCTAACCCTAAGTATGTCCCCGAGTGGAGTCGATATTCCGTCACGGGACGACGTCGAGTGGTGAGATAAAATGTAGGGCGGATGATTGGAGTCACCATCTAGTATTATGATTACTAGGAAACCTTATGACTCGGTCTATTTAGAGTTTTGGGTAAGGGGTTTATTACGTTTAAGGAAGATCAAAAGTCACCCTACCCCGTCTTGCCTAAGGAAAGTTGTATCACATGTAACATTGGTTCGATTTTTGATTTTTTATGAAAATGCCCCTAGTCGAGTGATTCGAGAGCCATTCGATCGGAGACCTTGTCCTCACTCTATAATAGATGGCTAAAATGATGAAAAAACGAGATAAAATTAAAAAAAGGAGTAAAAGTTGACAACTTAGATAAAAACAAGCAAAAATCGACAACTTAAGCAAAAATATGCAACTTAGGCAAAAATAGGCAAAAATCGGCAACCTAAGCAAAAATAGGCTAAAATCGGCAACTTAGGCAAAAATAGGCAAAAATCGACAACCTAGGCAAAAATAGGCTAAAATCGACAACTTAGGCAAAAACAAGCAAAAATCGACAACTTGGGCGGAAATAGGCAAAAATAGACTAAAATCGGCAACTTAGGCAAAAACAAGTGAAAATCGACAACATAGGCTAAAATATGCGAAAATCGACAAACTAGGTAAAAAGAGGCAAAAATTGGCAAGGAAAAATGAAAGCCACGAACTTTGGCTAAAATCGGTAACAAAAAACGACAACTACAGACTTTGGTCAAAATCGACAACGAAAAACTAAAGCTATAGCTTTGGCCAAAATCGACAATGAAAAAGAAAAAGTGACAGACTTTGGTTAAAATATTCTAAAATTGGCAAGCAAAACGAGCACACATAGGCAAAAATTAACGAGATCCGACAATAGGACCAGAATCGGAGAAGACACAAATCGATGAAATTAATTACATTAGCATGCTTAACAAAAATAGAGTTACATGGCAACATTTCAAACTTACTCGGTTCAACGTACGTGTTTTTTACAAAATCACCATAAGAGACACTCCCTTAAAATATACATTCCGAACAACAAATATTCAAATGCTCAAATCGATGTATCATACCATAAAATCAACAATGCACATTATCACAATTCTAACAAATTACACATAAACAAACAAATCAAATTAATTACATCACATTCACTCAATTAATTATATGACACATATCAATATCAAGCAAATTTAATACATGTTAAAAATAAAAATAAAATAAAGCAAAAAGTGGAAAAAAATTACTTTAAAGAAGAAAAAAGGTGAGTTGATTTGCTTGATGATCTCGAGGTCGAATCCGATCTTTTCGACCCCGATGGAGATTAATACTTAGTCAACCGGGGACGAAAGGTGGCTACTAGTAGAGCGTGGGAAGGCTCGCTCGCGGGTGGTGGCCGCTGCCGGTGTTGGCGCCGGTTCTAGCACGCCGCTAGCGTGCTATCGGGGCGCTAGCGTGCCGCCGGCACCGGCACCGGCATGCTGCTGCAGCGTGCTCGTTGGCATTGTCATTGGCACGCCGCTGGTGTGCTACCGGCGTCACCGGCCGACACGCCGCTGCTGCTATTAGGGCGAGGTGCTAGCGGTAGGGCCGGTGCGTGGGTTAGCGCTACACGTCCGGCATAGGAGTTGTTGGCGTGTGGAGGTGCGAGTAGGCATGTATGAGTGTTGGTGGGAGAGGTTGATGGGGCTGGTGGCGCGGAAGGAGAGATGCTATGGAAGGGGTGGTTGCTGGCATGGGGAGATGGCTATGTGCGGGAGGTGGTTACTTGTGTTGATGGAAGAGGGTTTGCGGCTAGGGTTACTTTTTGGGGGGTGAACAATGAGTCGTCCTTTTTGGGGGAGAAAAGGGGGTTTTTTACTAGCTTTCTAGGCTTTTTCTCGGAAAAAATCTGTTTTGGTCCTTCATTTCAAAAACCAACTTTATTTTGCTTCTTTTCTCTTCTCTTCTTCAATTGCACCCCTATACATATTTTTTTTTACTTCTTTTCCTTTTTTTCTTCTTTTTCTTTTTTCTTCTCTTTTTTTACCCAAAGTTGGTTGTTAACAAGGGAGAGAGAGGGAAAGAGAAAGGAAAGAGAGGAAGAGAGAGATAGATAGAAAGAACAAGGAAGAGAGATAGAGAGGGGGAGAGAGAGGGAGGAGGGAGAGGATGGAGAGAGAGACCGGGAGAGAGAAGGAGAGATGGGGGAGAGAGGGGCGGAGAGAGGAAAAGAGGAAAGAGAAGGCGAGAGAGTAAAAGGGAGAGAGAGACGAGGCAAAAGATAAAGGTAAAGAGGTTGGGGGTAAGAGAGGAAGGGGGCAAAAGAGTGATAGATAAAGAGAGGAGGAATGAAAAAAGAGGTTGAGAGAGGGAGAAAGAGATAGGGATAGAGAAGGAGTGGGAGGGAGGGAAGGATAGCTGGAAAAAAAGGGAAAGAGAGGAGAGAGAGAGAGGGAGAGTCTATAGAATAACGATTGAGAGGAAGAGCTAGAGAGATAGAAAGGGAGAGAGAGTAGAAGAGAGAGAGGAAGAGAGAGTGAGAGTCTATAAAATAATGATTGAGAGGAAGAGGTAGAGAGATAGAGAGGGAGAAAGAGTAGAGAGAGGGAGAGTCTATAAAATAACGATTGAGAGGAAGAGGTAGAGAGATAGAGAGGGAGAGAGAGTAGAGAGAGGGAGAGGAAGTGAGAGGTTAGGAGAGTGGGAAAGAGAGAAAGGGAGAGAGAGAGAGGGAGGGAGAGAGAAGAAGAGAGAGTGAAGGATAGAGGGAGAGAGGTTAAGGGTAAAAAGGGAAGGAGAGAGAGTGGGATACAAGAAGAGCGAGAGTGAGGGAGGAGAGATAAGAAACGAGAAGGAGGATGGAAGAGAGAGAGAGGATAGAGGGGAGATAGAGGGGAGAGAGAGGGAGGGAAAGATGGAAAAAGTGGAAAATAAAGGAGAAAAAGAGGGAGAGTATGGAGAATAGTGAGAGAGAGAGAATAGGAGAGAGGGAGAGATAGTAAGAGGGAGAGAGAGAAAGAGAGAGAGGTTGGAAGAAAGAAAGAGAGAGGGAGGAAGAGGGAGAGGGAGAGAGTGAGAGGGAAGGAGAGAAAAGGGAGAGAAAGAGTATGAGTGAGAGAGAAGGGAAGAGAGGGGGAGAGAGAGGGAGCGGGAATGAGAGTGGGAGAGAGAAAGAGAGAGTGGGAGAAAGGGAAAGAGAAAGAGAGAGTAAGAAAGGGAGAGAGGCAGAAAGAGAGAGGGAGAGAGAGAAAGAGAAAAAATTAGAGTAAGAGAGGGAGAGGAGGAAGAGAGAGAGAGAGGAAGAGAAAGTGAGAGGGAGAGGGAAGGGGAGGGAGAGAGGGATAGAGGGAAAGGGAGGGATAGTGAGAGAGAAAGAGAGAGGGAGGTTGAGAGGAGAGAGATAGGTAAAGAGGGAGAGAAAGTGAGAGGGAGAGAGGGGGAGGAGGGAGAGAGAGGGAGGGTGAAGGGAGTGAGAGAGAGATGGAGAGAGGGAAAGAGAAGAGAGAGAAGGAGAGAGAGGGAGACATAGAGAGGGAGAGGGAGGGAGAGATGAGGAGAGATGGCAAGAGAGGAGGATAGATGGGAAGAGAGAGGAAGAGAGGAAAAGGGAGGAAGAGGGTGAAAGAGTTAGAGAGATAGAGAGTAGAAGAGAGAGTAAAAGGGAGATAGAGAAAGAGAGAGAGAGGATGGGAGAGACACAGAGAGAGAAAGAGAGAGGGAAAGAGAGGGAGGGGAGAGAGAGAAGAGGAGATGAAGAATGAGAGAAAAATATAAAGGGAGAGAGTAGGGGAGGGAGGGAGAGATGGAGAGAGCAAAAGAGAGAAATAAAGGGAGAGGGGGAAAAAGTGAGAGAGTGAGAGAGGGAGAAAGAGGGGGAGATGAGCAAGTGATAAAGAGAGATAGAGGAGAGAGACGATGAGAGAGGGAGAGAGAGAGAGAGGGAGAGGGGGAGAGGGGAGGGAGAGGTAGATTGGAAGAGATAGAGGGGAAGGAGGGAGAGAGTGGGAGAGAGGGAAAGAGAAGGAGAGGGAGAGAGAAAGAGATATTATAGGAGAGGGGGAGAGAGAAAAGTAGAGAGGAAAAGAGAGTATGTGTAAGGGACTGTGAGAGAGAAGGAGAAAGAATGAGAGATAAAAAGAAAAGGAGAGAGAGGGAGAGAGAAAGAGATAGAGAGAAAAGAGAAAGGGAGGGAGGGAGGGGGAGAGTGTGGGAGAAGAAGTGAGAGAGTGGGAAGGATGGAGAGAGAGAGAGAAAGGGAGAGAGGGAGAGGGTGAGGGAGAGAGGGAAAGTGAGAGGAGACAGAGGATGAGAGAGAGAGAGAGTAAGAGAGAAGGAAAGAAGGAAGAGGGAGGGAGGGAAAGGGAGAGATAGAAGGGGTAAGAGTAGGAGGGGAGAGAGTGGGAGTGCCGAGGGGGAGGCAAAGAAGGAGGGAAAGAGAGAGAAAGAGAGAGGGGCCGGAGAGGAGGGAGAGGTAGAGGGAGAGAGAGGGAAGGGAGATAGAGAGAGAGAGGGACAAATAAAGAGAGGAAGAGAGTGGGAGAGTGAGAAGGGGGAGAGAGAGGTCGAGAGAGGTCGAGGGAGAGGGAGAGAGAGTGAGGGGGAGAAAGTAAAAGAAAGAAAGACCGGGAGGGAGAGAGGAGAAGAGTGAGGGAGAGATAGAGGGAGTGAGAGGGAGAGAGAGAGTAGAAGAGAGGGGGAGAGGGAGGGAGGGAGAGGGAGAGAGATAAAGGAGAGAGAGATATAGAGAGGTAGAGCAAATGAGAGAGTATGAGTGAGAGAGAGGGTGAGTGAGAGAGGAGGTGAGAGGGAGAGAGAGATAGAGAGAGGTAGATAGAGGGAGAGAGAGAGAGAGAGGGTGAGTGAGCGAGGAGGGGAGAGGGAGAGGGTGAATGAAAAAGGGAGAAAGGGTTAGAGAGAGGAGACGGAGTGGGAGGGAGAGAGAAGGAGGGACGGAAAAGCGAAGAGTGGAGGGAGGAGAGATAGAGAGAGAGAGGCCGGAGAGGTAGAGAGGGACGGGGATAAAGAGAGTGGGAGGGAGAGGGGAAAGGGACATTGAGACAGAGGAAGAGAGAGAGAGAGAGGGAGAGAGAGGTTGAGAGATGAAGGGAGAGAGAATGAGGGAGAGTGAATTAGATAGAGGAAAAGGGAATGAAAGATAGAGGGAGTGCGACAGAGAGAGAAAGTGAGAAAGAGAGAGTACGAGAGGGGAGAAAAGAAAAGAAAAGGATAGAGGGGAGAGGGAGAGCGAGGAAGAGAGAGAGGGAGGGAGGGAGGGAAAGGGATAGAGAGATAGAGAGAGGTAGATAGAGGGAGAGAGTAGGAGTGAGAGAGAGAGAGAGAGAGGGTGAGTGAGAGAGGAGGGGAGAGAGAGAGGGTGAATGAAAAAGGGAGAAAGGGTGAGAGAGGGGAGGGAGTGGGAAGGAGAGAGAAGGAGGGATAGAAAAGCGAAGAGTGGAGGTAGGAGAGATAGAGAGAGGGAGAGAGAGGCTAGAGAGGTAGAGAGGTAGAGAGGGAGAGGGATAGAGAGAGTGGGAGGGAGAGGGGGAAAGGGATAATGAGACAGAGGAAGAGAGAGAGGAGGGAGATAGAGGTTGAGAGATGGAGGGAGAGAGAATGATGGAGAGTGAATTAGATAGAGGAAGAGGGAATGAGAGATAGAGGGAGTGTGAAAGAGAGAGAGAGGGCGAGGGGGAGAAAAGAAAGGAAAAAGATAGAGGGGAGAGAGAGAGTGAGGAAGAGAGAGAGGGAAGGAAGGAGGGAGAGGGAGAGAGAGATAGAGAGAGGTAGATAGAGGGAGAGAGTAGGAGTGAGAGAGAGAGAGAGGGTGAGTGAGAGAGGAGGGGAGAGGTAGAGGGTGAATGAAAAAGGGAGAAAGGGTGAGAGAGAGGGAGGGAGTGCGAGGGAGAGAGAAAGAGGGACGGAAAAGCGAAGAGTAGAGGTAGGAGAGATAAAGAGAGGGAGAGAGAGGCCGGAGAGGTAAAGAGGGAGAGAGGGAGAGGGATAAAGAGAGTGTAAGGGAGAGGAGGAAAGGGAAAATGAGACGAGAGGAAGAGAGAGAGAGAGAGAGAGAGATAGAGAGAGGGAGAGAGAGGTTGAGAGATGGAGGGAGAGAGAATGAGGGAGAGTGAATTAGATAGAGGAAGAGGGAATGAGAGATAGAGGGAGTATGAAAGAGAGAGAAAGTGAGTGAGAGAGAGAGGGCAAAGGGGAGAAAAGAAAGGAAAAGGATAGAGGGGAGAGGGAGAGCGGGGAAGAGAGAGAGGGACGGAGGGAGGGAGAGGGAGATAGGGTGTGTGAGAGAGAGAGGGAGAGAGTTGGGAGGAGTGAAAGAGGGATAGAAGGGGAGAGATGTAGAGGGGGTAAGAGAGGGAAAGAGGGAGTGGGAGAGGTAAATGGACAAAGAGGGAGAGAGAGGAGAGGGAGGGAGAGTGGTAGAGAGAAAAAAGGGAGAGAGGGTGAGAATGGGAAAGAGGGAGAGAGAGAGAGAGAGGTGGAGAAAGGGAGATAGGGTGAGAAAGGTAGAAATGGTGTGAAAGGGAGAGAGAGGGAGAGAGAGGGAGGAGGGATAGAGAGGCAGAGAGTGGCAAGAGAGGGGAGAAAAGGGGAGAGAGGGAGAGTGATAAGGAGAGAGCAAGACAAAGAGAAAGAGAGGGGAAAAGAGAAGAGAGAGGGGAAAGAGGGAGAGGGAGAGGGAATGACAGATGATAGAGAGAGGTAGGGAGAGAAGGGG